GGGGGCTTTGCACCAATTTGAAACTTGTAGTTGCCTACTGCTTTACTGGCAATGTTACATCATTTCAACTACTTCCTTTGTTTTGGAAAGTGGTTGGAGTGCTTCAAACCACAGTAAAGTTGTGGGTAATTGCCTCTGTCAATGACCGGAAATTCTTTGCACTCCATGCCAAGCTTAGTGGCACACTACCCTGTGGTCTAGTGTACAAGACACCCAATCTTTTCGTTCTGACTCGGATGATATACTTCTTTGCTGATGTACCTCATCTTATCAAAACCACTCGAAATTGTCTCTACAATTCAGGATATGGATCACCTAGTCGGTATGTAAAGTTTAATTTATTTGAAATTGTTGTTCATTATTTGCATGAAACTCGTCTGCTTTTAACTGTTTATTTTATGATTGAGTTAGTTTTCTTTGATGTACCACAGGATGTGCACTATATATATTACCATATACAGTAGCTGTCCTTCAATACTTATTACAGTAGTCAAGAAATAAAGGGAAAACCTTGTTAAGAAACCTCCTCAATCACGAAATACAGTTATAAAGCCCTTGTAATTGAATGTTGGGCTGTATGCTATATAGAGAACACAACGCTTCCGAGGGCTGTTTAGCATTCAGCCCTTGTTCTCTGGCCTTATATAACTCTTACTGTACAGTACCATACTGTATAACTTCATTTTAACCCATTAAATTGCAAAGCACTTTCAATTGTGCGCAACTTTATGTTTCTGCTCTGACTAATGGCACTTGTGGCTAACTTGTGTCAAGAGGAGAGTCGTGCATTGCATTTTAATGGGTTAATTTCCTGTCCCCATAGTTGCCCAAGTCCTAGAATATATTTTTACATTTATAGGTACATGTGGAACAATGGCCAATATTTGCTGTTTAGGCATATTGCTGACATGTTCCACAATGATCAGGAATATGCTTTACACCGACTGCCAAAGTTGATGTTGGACCAAATTTTGTTGACTGGTTATTCAAAGATGAAGGTGAAACTTGCTGTTCAAGTGCTGAGTAGAACCGTTTCAACCTGCCTGCTTGAGAGTGATGATCCAAGTGTTGCTGGCACAGCAATGTTCTGCCAGATGGTAAATGACTTATTCGATTGTTTGAATGACAGGTTATTGAAAGAGCATCAACTGAAACGAAATGATTGCATCAAGCCTTATGACAGCCCCGATGATGAGTGTCTGGTGTGGATGAAGAATACATTTCTGCAGTATCTGGAAGATTGGAAAGAAAGTGTGGCCAAGAGAAAAGGATCCTATACTACAGGTGAAAGAGAAAAGATATGTTTTTGTCCCGCCAGACCTATGAAGGCTTCAAAATTACTGTCAACTCCCACATTGAAGCCATAAAGTTTTTGCTTTCCATAGGATTTTCCTATGTATTTTCAGAACGCTTTATGGAAGACGTGCTTGAAGACTACTTTGGTCACCATAGGACTCTAGGAGTAAGATCAGATAATTCTTCAGCAGAACAATTTAGATGCAATGACCGAACCCTTGCTGCTCAAAGAGACATTGACCCATCAGTAAGTGGCAACACAGGAGGACGGTATGGCAAGGATAAATGGTACACTGTAAGTGATGAGCCTTTAAAGGGGTTGGACCATGGTCAGTTTCAACCAAAGTTCTATATGTGGCATGATACTCTTAGGGTTAGGGTATTAGCAGACTACCTCAGCTTCAACAGCCATGCTCTTTAGAGATGATTCAAAGAGCATGGCTGTTGAAGCTGGTTCAAACCAGAAAAACAGAAAGTATCAAGTTCAATTTGAAGTAATATTTGTGGCTTGCACCTTGGATGATTGAAGTCATTTCTAAACTGGTAGTATCAAAGTTGTTGAACTGTCTTATCAAGAAACATACTCATTTTCCGAATGTAAATGTATAGTCTTGTACCCACACATCCCCTTTCCCTTTTGTATTTTTCAAACTCAGCATCTTTAAAGCAAATTCAGCAATTTAGGAGATGCCTGGGTAAGAAGCTAATAGTGACAATAGATACAAGCTGATTCTCATTATTACATGCTCAAATACAACTTCTGATGATTGTACATTTGGTAGATACTATTATACCCCTCATTTGTTGTCATGCCTTACATGAAAAAGGCTCATTTATGAACATATATATATTTGTTGTTGATATAAAGGGTAAAGATCATTGAACAAAATCATGTCTTAATGGAACATTTTATTACATTATTACCTAGTAAGCTAAAGATGTGAACAATTACTAGCAAAGTACGTGTGAGAAAAAGAAATGCCTTGAAGGAGCAGAATTTTTATTTACAGGCTCCGGGACAGCTAAATTGCAGAATACCCGTCCATTGTGAACTGTTTTGAAATAATTTTTTAATTAATTTATTTGTTTAAACAAGCTATCAAAATTGGACGGGTATTCTGCAATCCCTCCCAGTCAGCGACTTACTTATCAACATTATGCCTCTAAAGTTCTTTCCACAGTACTTTGCTCTTTGCTGCTTTTTGTTTACTTTTAAATTCGCTGATGTAGTCTCTAGCATAGGAAAAACTGCGAACCTTTATATAAAGTTTAATATTATTTTCAAGACAAAGCTTTGTACTTTTTTTCGGCAAGTTCTTGCATCCATGGAAAATGTTTTCCCACAGTGACTTAAGCAATGGTGACTCCAGTGCTTCATTACATAATGTGTCACATGGAATAGAACTAACCACAGATGTTTGCTGGTCAATAAACTGTCTAAATAATATTTCCACAACCTCCAAGATTTGCACTAGATCACTACATGGTGTCACTAGTCCACCTAGATCTACTTCATGCATCAACATATGTGTTCTCAACACTGGGACGTGTCATGCTCTGTAACATAACCTGGAGCTCTTCATTTGGCTTACTTGAGCACTGTTTTTGTAATTTCGCCAATACGTAGCCAGCAATATATGATAAGGGTCCACGTTCATGTTCACTTAATAATTCTGTTACATGTTCTGTGCTTTCACTTGAAGTGCCAGACTTCTGCTTTCCACTGGTAGACTTGAACAAAGCTACTAGGTGATCTTTTTTATTTATTTATAAACTTTACAATCAACAAAATGATTGAAGGTACAGACAACAGGACTGTGGAGTCCCAAATTAAGTCCTACCTACATATTACATTAACATTGTAAAACTATAGAGACAGAGTTACAACTTTAAAAAAGCTACAATACAAAATTACAACACACGATCAATGCGTTCCAAACCATCTTTACACTTTCCAAATAGTCAGGAGGCAGTCTACAAAAATGTGATTATTTAAGAGTTTGCTAAACTTTTTGAGTAGAAGCTGGCAACATAGCTTAAAATTTTCGTCTGGTCGCCCTGATCAAGAATATCGCTGTTGCCACTTTCAACTCTTGCTAGTTTGGCCGCTAGAGGCCGTTTTTCCAGGCCCTCGCTCCGTCAACATGAAAACGAGGCTGAACTATAAATATTCGTAAAATCATGTAAAACTGCTGTAAGACTCCCGAATATTTTATATTATCAATGCACTTATTAGGTCTACTTGGGCACTTGCACTTATTAAGAAATAAAGGAAATGTCACGTGACTGGTCACGTGTTTTGTTAATTTACTTGTAATAATATTCAATAACTTCAACATATGGACTAGAAATTATTATAAATTAATGATTGTAACAGGAATTCAATAGATCACAATGATATTTAGTATTTTATATATGAATATTGCAAGAAGTTCGATTTGGGGTCTGTGCTTGTTGATTAGTTTCCAGGCCACAAACAATATAAATATGTGCTAGATGGTAATGTTTTGAATAATTTTTCTGTTTGTGAATTTGCTGCTTGCAAAAGTTTTAAACGTCGTTTTTCGAATTGTGAAACTCTTTATAATATACCAGGTAATGAATGTTATGTTATATAGCATTTGTAAATAATTCTTGTAATTTCTTTATTATTTATAATGTCTTTTAATATATTTTCAATAATATTACTATTCTCTATGAAATTGAAAAGAGGTCATCCCACATGCAAAATGTATGTTTGCAATTATGCATTGCCTTGAAAGGCGAAGGAAATAGATGAATTTAGCTCAAGAAGTTACTACAAATTATTTTCCAATTATAGATAAATTGAAAACAATATTAAACCGTGAATTAATGTGAATAACATGTGCAGTTTTCACAATCTGTCAGATGCATGTGATTGAAAATAATTTAAACTACCTTTATACATGTTTCATTATTAAGTTAAATCACAATCAGTTTTATATTTTGCCCAAAGGTAAATAGCCTTATAAATTTGATGATGTGATGTAAAGAAACAGCAATAGAGGATGCGGCAGCACTCGTAGCTAGTGGCATCGTAAGCAATGACACGATCGAGATTAATTATGTGAAATGCATCATTTGTCAAGGAAACAAGTTTCCGAAAAAAAAGTTTCCTCTTTCTAAAGCCACCAAAACTGGGATTTTGAGGGCTGTGCATTGTGCAGAAACCAGAGAAAGCTGTAAGGACCTGAAAAACACAGAGACCGGGGACAATAAACTGTGCTTTGGCACAGGTGTTGTTATAGTGATTTTACAAATGCAAGTCATATTCAGCGTCTCCAAAATCGAATGTCTGACACATCAGAAGAAATTACAGTTGATGTACACATAGGAGCCTCCAGGAGATCTTTAATTGATTGCATGGACTGGTCTAAATGTATGTTCTGCCAAATGGATTCGAAAGGTTTAAGTCAAGTACAAACCATGGAAACAGCGAAAATACTCCGTAAAGCCGTATTTGATAATGAGATGAGCTGCAAGCTTGCTGGCGTGAACAATCTGATAGCAGCAGAAGGTAAATATCACCTGAAATGTTACACCAAATTTCAAAGAAACACGGATAAGAATGCAGCAGATTTCAAAGAAGTGAACAGTGATCCCAGAGTTACCTGCTTTGAAGAAATCATGTCCTTGCTTGAAAAGGGATTATGTCGCGGCCGTATCTACTCGCTTAAAGCAGTTTGGACATCATTTTCCCATCGTCTGGAGTCTCATTATCACCTAGATCCTGGCGTTTACAGAGGGAACAAGTTGAAAGAGAAGATTCAGCTGTTTCTTCAAGATAAAATTACGTTTGTTCAACCGTTGAATCCGTCAGAACCATTCTTGATAGTTTCATCGAATCTAAATGAGGCTGCCATGCGTTCTTTATTAAACGAGTCAAATGTGGAGGGAAATGTTGATGCTGAATATGAAGAGGAGCTAAACAACAGTGATGTCGAAGCTGTAGATCTTGATGCAGAATTATTGAGCTGGCTGTATAGAGTAGCTGTAAAGGTTCACCACGATGTGAAATCGGCACCTGGTATTGATTGCATTGGCACAGCATAGACGAACAGAGCGCTGAAAGTGTAGTTCCGGAAAGTCTGTTCATGTTAATTTCCCTTCTGTGTGCTGGTGATCAAGAGGACGACATTAATATGAAAACGCGAATACTAAGTATTTGTCAGGACATAGTATTCCTCGTCTCAAGGGGTCATAAGCTAATGCCAAAGGATATTGGATTAGGCTTAACTGTACATCAAGCAACGCAATCGAAAGAACTTGTCCAACTTCTGTACTCAGCTGGACACTCTGTTAGCTAGGAAGCTGTTATGAGAATGGATAATACAATTGCAAACGATGTTCTCGAGAGGTACAATGAAAACAGAAAGGTAACATTGATATCAATGAGGAAACGCTAAGCGGTATGGGCACGTTTCATGCAACGCAATTTGCTGCTTTACACTGAATGGAAGAAGGTGAACCCAAGATGAAAGTTCAGATAACTCCGAGAGCCGAAAGACAACTAAATTTGGATGTTCCTCTGAGTTACACAAGCTGAAAAAAGTGGAACTAGAGAGTGACAAGCCCGAGCCGGTGATTCAAGGAACTGTTTCACCTCAATGGTACTCACCAGATCAGCTAACAATGGACGAATCATTTGAGAAAGATCTAGCTTGGATTCTAACTCGACTAGTTCAACTTCGTCCTGAGGTTCAACAAGTCCCAGGGTGGTCTGGTTTTAACCATCTGTTGTCTACAAATGTCTCGCAGCCCACCACAGTTGGTTCACTGCCAATCATCAATGCGCCTGCCCACGAATTTGATACGTTGTGGACTGTAATACTACAATGCCAAGCAATGACGACGCTGAGAGAAGGAAAATATACAGTCATCACAATGGATGAAGCGCTGTACAACAAAGCAAAGATGCTACAATGGGAAAAGACAGAAGAATTGAAGAACGTGGTGATCATGCTAGGCGGTTTCCATACACAGATGACATTCTCGAAAGCCATTGGAAAGTGCCTGGCATCCTCGGGCATTTGCGAAATGTGGGTCGAAAGCGAGATTTTTGGAGAAACCACAGCTGATAACATCATGAAAGGAAAGCTCTGGAATCGTGTCATCTGTGCGCACAAATTGAGATACGAAGCACTGTGGCAAATTTTGTGGCCTCTTCTCTTACAGTGGGCTCATGATAACGGAGAGCATGTGGATGGATTATTAGACGAGTTGGCGAATCGATTGGCTGTTGCATTTTCTACCAAAGGCGAAGACTCGGAGAGAGACTTAACAGCACATGATGACCTGATTGAGCAAGTCAAAAAACTTACCGAGCTCATCGCAAAGTTTGATGCAGAACACGAGGACAATCCAACTTTCTGCTACTGGAGGAAGTACATGCACTTGGTT